TCAGCAGTGCAGCCATCTGCTCCAGTGGTTTTGTTCTTAGCTAGTTTTTTTATTGCCAGTTCAATTTCATTGCTGGTAATCGGTCTGTTCAGATTTTCTGTTTCTTCCTTAGTCAGCCTTGGAAGGTTGTATTTTTCTAGAAAGTTTTCCATTTCTTCTAGGTTGTCCAGTTTGTTAGCATATAATTTTTCATAGTATTCTTGAATAATTCTTTGTATTTCTGTGGTGTCCATAGTGATTTTTCCTTTCTCATTTCTGATTCTGTTTATGTGAGTAGAGTCTCTTATTTTCTCGATAAGGCGAGGTAGGGGTTTGTCTGTTCTGTTTATTTTCTCAAAGCACCAGCTCTTGCTTTCATTGATTCTTTCTATTGTTTTATACTTGATTCTATTTATTTCTGCTCTAATCTTTATTATGTTCCTCCTTCTACTGATGTTGGGCCTCATTTGTTCTTCTTCTAGTTTGGTTAATTGTGAGTTTAGAGTGCTCATATGGGATTGTTCTTTCCTGAGGTAGGCCTGTATTGCAGTATACTTTCCTCTTAGCACAGCCTTGGCTGCGTCCCACAGATTTTGCGTTGTTGAATTATTGTTGTCATTTGTCTCCATATATTGCTTGATCTCTGTTTTTATTTGGTCATTGATCCATTGGTTATTTAGGAGCACGTTGTGAAGCCTCCATGTGTTTGTGGGATTTTTCATTTTCTTTGTGTCATTTATTTCTAGTTTCTTACCTTTGTGGTCTGAGAAACTGGTTGGTACAATTTCAGTCTTTTTCAATTTACCAAGGCTCTTTCTGTGGCCTAGAATATGATCTATTCTTGAAAATGTTCCATTTGCACTTGAGAAGAATGTGTATTCTGCTGTTTTCGGGTGTTGAGTTCTGTAGGTGTCTGTTCGGTCCATCTGTTCTAATGTGTTGTTTAGTGCTTCTGTCTCTTATTTTCTGTCTAGTTAATCTGTCCTTCAGAGTGAGTGGTGTGCTGAAGTCACCTAGAATGAATGCATTGCATTCCATTTCCCCTTTTAATTCACTTAGTATTTGTTTCACATATGTAGGTCCTCCTGTGTTGGGTTCATAGATATTTATAATGGTTATATCTTCTTGTTGGATTGACCCTTTTATCATTATGTAATGTCCTTCTTTGTCTCTTGTGGCTTTCATTGTTTTGAAGTCTATTTTGTCTGATACAAATACTGCAACTCCTCCTTTTTTCTCCCTATTAGTTGCATGAAATATCTTTTCCCATCCCTTCACTTTTATTCTGTATATATCTTTGGGTTTAAAGTGAGTCTCTTGTAGGTAGCATATAGATGGGTCTCATTTTTTAATCCATTCAGTGACTCTATGTCTTTTGATTGGTGTATTCATACCATTTACATTTAGGGTCATTATCGATAGGTATGCACTTATTGCCATTGCAGGCTTTAGATTCGTGGTTAGCAAAGGTTCAAGGTTCACTTCCTTACTATAAGAGTCTAACTTAATTCACTTAATATGCTATTACAAACACAATCTAAAGGTTCTTTTTTTTTTTCTCCTCCTTTTTCTTCCTCGTCCTTTCTTTATATGTTAGGTATCATGTTCTGTACTTTTTGTCTATCCCTTGATTGACTTTGGGGATATTTAATTTAATTTTGCATTTGCTTAGTAATTAGCTGTTCTATTTTCTTTACTGTGGTTTTATTACCTCTGGTGACAGCTATTAAATGTTAGGAACACTTCCATCTATAGCAGTCCCTCCAAAATAGACTGTAGAGATGGTTTGTGGGAGGTAAATTCTCTCAGCTTTTGCTTATCTGGAAATTGTTTAATGCCTCCTTCAAATTTAAATGATAATCTTGCCAGATAAAGTAATCTTGGTGAGGCCCTTCTGCTTCATTGCATTAAATACATCATGCCACTCCCTTCTGGCCTGTGAGGTTTCTGCTGAGAAGTCTGATGTTAGCCTGATGGGCTTTCCTTTGTATGTGATGTTATTTCTCTCTCTGGCTGCTTTTAATAGTCTGTCCTTATCCTTGCTCTTTGCCATTTTAATTACTATATGTCTTTGTGTTGTCTTCCTTTGGTCTCTTGTGTTGGGAGATCTGTCCAGCCCCATGGCCTGAGAGACCATCTGCTTCCCCAGATTGGGGAAGTTTTCAGCAATTACCTCCTCAAAGACACTTTATGTCTCTTTTTCTGGTATCCCTATAATATGAATATTGTTCCTTTTGGATTGGTCACACAGTTCTCTCAATATTCTTTCATTCTTAGAGGTTCTTTTTTTTTCTCTGTCCCTCAGCTTCTTTGTAGTCCTCTTGTTTCTATTTTATTTATCGTCTCCTCTACCATATCTAATCTGCTTTTAATACCCTCCATTGTGCTCTCCGATGATTGGATCTCTGACCAGAATTCATTCCTGAGTTCTTGAATATATTTCTGCACCTCTATGAGCATGTTAATGATTTTTATTTTGAACTCCCTTTTAGGAAGATTCATGAAGTCGGTGTCTCAGGATTTGTATTAAAAATTTTACTCTGAGCCAGGTTCCTTTGGCATTTTATATTTGTATATGGCGCACTCTAGTGCCCAGAATCTCTACTCTCTGGAGCTGCTCAACCCCTGAAGCAATGTCAGGGGTCGCAGGGGAGTGGTAATGGTGCCTGGGGGGGAGGAAAGAATTGTTTCCTGCTTTCTGGCTGCTATGCCTGTCTCCACTTTCTGAACCAGTGGGCCGAGCACACAGGTATAAACCTCTATGCTTTGTGTTTGTAATTGCTCTAGACAGATATTCTCTCTGGCTGGCCTAATGCCAGGGTAGGGTTTTGCCAGTTTGTGAGCCAGGTGGGGCTGGCCAGGAGAAAGGCACAGTAGGCTGCATATCACAGAGTGGGTCCTTGGAGCTGTGTAGTCATCCAGGGAGCTGGAGCACATGAAGATCATGAAAGCTCCCAACCTGCTGGGCAGAGTACACCTGGACAAGTTTGTATACCTGTCCTTTCTCCGGAGCAGTAAGCTCTGTGCAATCCTTGCTCCTTTAGCCCTTGCTAAGGGCTCCCTTGTTAGGAAGTCTCTCAGACTGCCCGCCTTTCTTTTGTCCCATAGCAGCCGGATATGGATCCCTGCTTTCCACAAGCCGCTGGAATCTCAGTCTCTCCAGGAATTCTGCCTGCCTTAGCTTTCCAACCCCATAATCACGAGAATATCATGCAAGCAACATGAAGTGTAGGTTTGTGCTCTCAGAGCAGATCGCCAGAGTTAGGTATTCAGCAGTCCCACGCCTCGAGTCCCTCCCCGCTCTGTTTCTCTTCCTCCCGCTGTTGAGCTTGGTTGGGGGAAGGGCTTGGGTCCCTCCGGGCCACAGCTTTGGTACGTTACCCTGTTCTGTGAGGTCTACTCTCTCCAGGTGTATGCAGTCTAGTACAGTCCTCTTTCCTGTTGCTCTTTCAGGATTAGGTGTATTAATCATGTTTTCGTGTTATATGAGGTTTTAGGAGGAAGCCTCTGTCTCACCTCTCATGTCGCCATCTTTAATCCCTGCCAGTTTGTTTTTAAAGAAAAAAAAATCACATTCCTCAGTTTTCAAATTATCTCTCAAAATAGATACTCTATTATACAAATATATGAAGCAATGCCTTACTGACATTTCAGTGGTAACTTGCTTTATTGGTACATTTTCTTTTGAAATACTGCCATAATTAGTCTAGTTAAGTCCCATATTACTAGCATGGAGCTGTATTCAGATGTAACTGCTTAGAGAATATTGGGGTTGTTGCCCAACACTTTAGAAAAAGCTATGATCTTCCCAGAAACAATGATCTAGTTTGGGGCATGTTATTCTGGGGTATAATATTCTTACAAGGCAATGAAGAGGGCAGGGAATATTTAAAGTTACAGAATTAGCATGAAACACCAATTTTACTTAATGGTAAGTCATATAAAACATTCCTTACATATTAAAACAAGCAGATATAAATTAGCCAGATTTTTACACACTGCTACAGATTAAAATAAGCAGATATATTATGAATAAGCAAGATTCTTATGCATTGCTACTGTAAAATAGGACTCTTCACTTTTAACTGCTCCACTATTACCCCCTCCCCCCAACACACATTCACACACACACTCCTTCCCCATTTCTCCTTCTTTCTACCCCTTGCTCCATGTATGTGTTCAGGCTTCTGCCATTAGATAAATATCAGTGAAAAAGTTTGAGAATTAAGGTAATAAAAATATGGTCTTTGTTGTGGCTTGGATTTAAATCCCAGATCTAAAATTCATTAAATGATCTCTTGCAAAGTCTTTAACTCCTTGGGTCTCTGTTTTCTTATCTGTAAAGTGTATTTATCTCTTAGGGTTATAGTAAGAATTAAATAAGAGTATCTGTAAATTAATGCATAGTAGGATCTTAACAAACATCAATCCTGCCTATCCATCTATCACTTCCTTCCTTACATGCCATATTTGTACAGAGTAGACTTGTCCTGCACAACAATGAGGTCTAAAGTAAATACCAAATATGTTAAAATGATAGTCCCCAGATAAGATACAGTAACCAATTCTGAGTTTATAATAGAAGCTATTTGAATAGAATTGACTCCGCATAAAAAAATTGAACATGAAAATCAATTTAAATAAGTAAGATTTTCTAAACCAGGATATTTTACACTTGGAAATTCTGGTTGTTTACTTTTTTTCTCTCTCAGTATTAAAATTGCTGTTTGAATATAAGAAAATAATAAGTTACATTTGTATTGTAGTCATTGTTTAATCTCCTGGTATATCAGTTTTCTGAAGATATAGTAAGAAAGCTGGGTATTGTGCACACCCTAGTCAATGGAGTACTGGGTGTTTAAGCATCTCAAAAAGAGAAGTAAGTACTTCTTGAGAAAGTACTTCTTAACTTCCCATGATAACTAATAATAAAACATAGGCTTCTTTAGGGGTGACAGTACTAAAGAACAAGATTTACAATGTGAAATAATGCTTGTCTTCTTAAAATCTACTTTTATTAGTTTGGGAACTCGTTGCTTGAATCTACTTGGTTTCCAACAGTTCATGGGAGATAATGATATGACATCAGACTTAGTTGATGAAGGAAAAGAATTAATTAGACGAGGTAAGATTTATCTTTCAAAATAAATGAATGGTTAAGTGCTAAGACTCAAAATATGAAGTTAATATTTGTATAATTTATAATTTTTAATCTCTAGAAATTAATAGTTTTTAGCTAAAAATCTACATACAACCTTCATAGTAAAAATAACTTGAAAACATAAATGATTGTTTCATCTGTCCATAAGAAATTCTACAGCAGTCATTATTAGTATATGTGTCATTAAATAATCCCCTTATATGTTGTTGGAGTCATTTTGTGTTTATCTTGAAACAGATTTGCCAAGTTGAATGCAACTACACAATTCATTAATTTAAAGAGTCATCAGTTAAATACTACATAAGAAATCGTTCAAGTGTTAACAATCTGTTAGAATATATGACCTTCTCCTAGTATCTAATCTCAAAACTGAATGTAACACATTTCTTGATGTTGAGATAATGGTAGGATGGGAATAGAAAAATGAAACTTGAGTTTTTGGAACATTGGTTCTTAAATATTCTCTCTACATGGATCTGGAGCTTTTGTGTGTGATCATTATTTAAATGTAAGCCATAATGTGTTGAGGCTTTCAAATAAATTAGTATAGCCTTCCCATGTTCTCATAAGAAGGTAGCATCCAGTTAATTTAATAGTTCTTCTGCTTTTTTGCATTATCCACTGCTTTTTGCATCATCTGGAGTTTCATATCCAGTCCTGGTCAAGATTTTCAAGAGTGAGACTGATAAGGTAGAAGGTACTTAGACAACAGCAAGAATATATATAGCCTGAAGAGAGTAAGGGAAAAGGCTGTTATACAGAAAGAAGACAAGTATGAACTTAACTTAGAAGAGAAGACATAGAGAAAAGAGAAGCTACAGAGAAACAAATTTCAAATTACCATGAGGAGGAACTTTTCCTAAACTACTATAACATTTTTAGGAAAACTATTTAGACAAAGCTAAAAAGCCATCTCCCAAGAAAAATAGAAAGCTATCCTCTATGAGTAAGGGGGCCTCTAAGGTCTTTTCCAACAATAACCTATTACCTTTGACTTTGTAGTAATTTAAAGGAAATTGGTCATAGCCTGATACCTTTACTTCAGTTACTCCACATCCTATTAAACCATGTTATACCAAATTTGAGACCACTTTTCTGTCTCTAGAGAAGAGAAAACGACAAAGGCAAGAAGAAGGTGAAAATCGAAGAAGAGTAAGTACAGTACTTATTAAATTGCTGTTACCTAAAGGCTAATGTGAAATATCATTAAGAATCTTACTGATTTAGAATAATTGGCTAAAGACCGAAGAACAGTGGGAAAATGATGACACATTTTTCAGAAAGGTAGTTTGAATACTTTCAGATATACATACTAAGTTTCCTGTAAGCCCAGTTCTAAAAAGTCACTGATATTAAATTACTTTGTGTCCAGCTTTCAGCACACTCTTGCCTCAGGTAGGCGCTCATTAAATATTTGTTGAATAAATTAGTAAATTCATGCAATCTTGCTATTTAAGTAGTTTTGATTGCTTTAAAATTATTATGCTTTTTTTGTAATATGACATTAATTGTATTCCTCTTTAATTTTTCTTCAATCCTCTGTTTGCTGAGGCAAACTAACCTCTTCCTAAAGAATGAAAAGGCAAAAAATTAGAAAAATCTAGTCACAGTTGCCACAAATTTTCAACACGGGGCTCTATCTATACTGGAGACGTGAAGACCCAGAGGAGACATGAAAGTTGTCTTCGCATATTCAGTGTGTGTTGTGCGAGGGATACTTGTTCTTTATTTCAGAAGGCATAACTAGAAACTGAGTGGAACCTACTGGAGATAGATTTCATCTCTTTACGAGAACCGCTAACTTTCACAGCTTACTAAAATTGTAGTGGGCTAATTACACACAGAAATTTCCATGTCATCTCATAAGAAAGCTGAAAAACTTTTGGCATGGCTATTTTAGAGTGAAACCCTGTACTGCATGGAGGTTGAATTAGGCAACGTCTAGTGTTCCTTTCAGCTCTAAGAATTTAATGAGTAGAATCCCAGTTAATAAGGTTTTACTGCAGTTAAGACTATGCACAATGCCTGTGAGTCATTTCTAATTATGTTTGTGTACAACTTTAATTTTGCTATCAAAAATGACTTTTCAGGTCTCTAAAACTTGTTCTTTATTTGGGTGGGAGAAACTTTTGTTAACATCTTATGAATTATTATGAGTTCTCATTGCTTTTAATGTTGTCCAGGTAAACTTGCTATAGTCATAGTATGATTTTGACATTGTAGGCAGAAGAATTGAATAACTTAAAATAACCATAGTCAGAAAAAATTTCTATAAATGTTTGTAAAACTATGTTTGGAGACTATATTAAAATCATGTAGAAATTAACATTATTGACCTATGATTTTTTAATGACTGTTAATTACACTGATTATCAGATGAATTTCTGATGAAAGAGAATTAAATTATGTTATCATACATACATACTCTGTTGACACTGATGAATTACTTTCTGTCAGAGTTCTTTTGTTATATATTAATTTATGTTTCTATCCTAGGAATGGAAAGAACGTTATGGACACAGTAGAGAAGATTCTACTAGAAACAGAAATGTTCATATTGACTCAAAAGAGTCAAACTTCTCAGACATTAGTAGCAACCGATGTAAGTAGTTATTTTCTAGCTCTCTTAGAGATTTTGTTTCTTATGCTTGCTTGCATAGAGACTGAAATTAGGATACCCATCCAGAAATGCCTTTGTAGAACTGTAGATGTGGTGGTTCTGCAGTGATTTTCCTTTTTCATTCCTCAGTGTGTATAGGGAAAGGGACACTCAAATATGCATTCTGTGGGAGAAGGAGAAATTGGGACAACAAATGAATAGTTGAATTTGTACTCCCTAAATAATACTAGTACTTATCCCTACTACACTCTGGGCAGATGGTTATTTTTACTATGTACTGGGATATTTTTCTCTACTTTTCTATTAGTAGATGTAGGCTATTCAGTCATTTTTAAAATAATTTACTGACTGGCCCATATATGTCAGGTACTTTCCCCAGTATACAGGGATACAGAAAAGACACATTTCCTGTCCTTGGAATGCTAATTCGCTTAGTGAGGGACTGAAATGCAGGCAGAAGACATTTACCAGTGGGTTGAGTTAGGAAACCTCCCTCCATCCTTGACCCTGCCATCTTCTCCTGAGGAGGTGGCAAGAAACCTGTTTTTGCCCAGGACCTGCACCAGGTAGAAGTTTATCTTTGGGGGAGATGAAGAAGTGCCTGGAGAGTAGAAGGGTACACACCTGATGCTGAGGGAACTCAGCTCAGGTGATAGAAAAAGAGTTCTTTATTGGGAAGGGAGTTCTGTGACAAAGAAATACTTAACCAAGCATTCAAGAATGAACAGTACTCAGGTGAAGGTGTTTTAGGCAGCAGGACAAATGAGTGACTTGAGAGAACCTTTGGGGAAATGCAATTTTTTTTTCTGTGTTTAGACCCTAAAGCATGAGGGGCCTGCCTGATAAGAGGGGAGACTACCAAGATAACTGGGAAGGAAATACTATCATGCTGAGAAGTTTAGATTTTATCCCCAAAATAAGATTTCAGTCTGGAAAGAAGCATGGTCGGGTTTTTGGTTTACAAAGATATATTTGATGGCAATGTAAAGCATGATTTCCAAGGAAGTTAGACACAGAAGCCAGTTTAATGTCTGTTTTGGTAATGCAGTCAAGAAGTGATGAGGGCCTAAAAGAAGTAGTGATCCTAAAAATGAAGAGGCAAGGATATATTTGAATTAAATTTAGGGCAGAAGAAATAGCAGAGAACTACAGTTTTAGATAAAAGTAGTGGGAGGATTTTACACAGAACTTTAGAAGCTTGCTTATCATGCAGTAGGAATTAACAGAGTGGAAAGATCTGGGATTATGAGAGAATGGTTAAGAGAAAACACAGAACTTTAGGATGATGAATTAGAACCTGAAAGGGAATAGACATCCAGTATTGCCAGATGAATGCGGGAAAAGATGAAGGGCAGAGACCAAGATGACAAAAGTGTAAGATGCAACAGAATTGGCTTGCCTTGAGTTTTCAAAAAGAACTGTATGATAAAGTTCTTTTGAAGCTATTGGATGGCTCAAAACAACATTGTGAAAATACAGGTTGTTTATAAGAAAACCCTATCCACTTAGAGAAGGGAAAGTTGGTTCTCTAGATCTGTGCTGACTGGGATGGTAATCATTAGCTCCATGTAGCTGTTAAGCATTTGCAATGTTGCTCTTACCCCATGTTGAAATTTTAATGTTTTAGATATATTGGATTAAATTACATACAGTAAAATTAATCTCATCTATTTCTTTTTACTTTTTTAATTAGCTACTGGAAATATTTAAAGTAAATATGGGGTTCCCATTTTCTTTCTGATGGACACTGTTGACCTAAACTCTTTCCTCCTAGGAAAAAGACTCAGACCTATATTGAAGAGCTTGAGTTGAGTATACCTTAAAGGGAATCCTAGCCAAGAAATGAGATATAGCAGCTCCTGAAATCACTGTGAAACCAGTTGAAACTTGATTCAATAATGAATAACTTCACCTTTATGATACCATAGTTAAATATTAATTTATTAATTCTGATTAATTCTTTGCATTATAGCTACTTCTGAGTTTAAATTAGCTGCAAGGGAGAACTTTTTCTTATTATTTTTTATCATACCAGTTTAATTTTAACCTGATTTTTAAGAAACCATATAGTTATCTTTTCTAAATATCATCTTCACAGTCAAAATTCAGGACCTTTGTAATCTTGACTTTTTTTTCTGAGTCCATAGACTGTGACTCATATAGACAATAGAAAGCAGACTTTTTTTTTCTTCCTTTGCAGCAGCATCCAAATATACCAGGGCTAATAGTAGGACTGAAAGGGACCGAATAGAACTCCTCCAAGATGTAGAACCTTTGGATTTTAATGCAGAAACATTCACTGATGATCCTCTTGAATCTGAATCAGGAAGGTAAGCTCCAGCTGTGTCATTTGGCTCCAATATTTCTCTGAATTTTTAATAATATACTGACTTAGTGAGACAAACAGGAAAATATTTTTTACTGATAATAAAAAGCATATTAAAGAACCTTTGATACCTTTTTGTGCCTTCTAATCCTTTTACATTTTAAAAATTAGAGCATCTAATGGTGGTAACTGATATCAATATCTTCATAAATAAGAATTGAAATTGATAGTAGGAATCTTAACAGTGTTTATATGCCAATTTCTGACAATCCCACTTAGGAAATTTATCATATTTAGCAAGGGCTACATTGCTATGACTGGGCATCTGTCACTATTCTAAGCACTTTAGCAATGATACTGTATTGTATGGTTGTAAATCCAATTGAATTTCAATCAAGAGAGGCTCAATAACTTACCCAGAGTCACACAGCTTCTAAATGACAGAATTAGGCATTTAAACCCCAGGACTCTGGTTACAGTCTGAGCGCTTAGTCATTATGCTGTGTGGAAATAATTAAAAGCAAAATATCATATGCATGAAGATAACTCCTTATAGTATTGCCAATAAACAGCAAAAAAGCTGAAATATTCTATTCAACAATTGAGAGTGGTTATGAAATCTCTAAAGTTCCATTATGTGTTTTATGCCTCCCTACCCCTTCTTTTTATATCTCTTACCCTGTCCTATGTGTATTCTAGGCTCTGAAACTGTTGTTGGTTTATTTATAACTAAGTAAATCCCTTTGGAATAATATCTTTGGAGAGTAAGTTTGTTTCTGCTTTTTCAGGTACTGAATAGATTTTACAGTGCTTAAAAATTATGTAGCCAATTCCTTTTAATGTATCCTTGTTTTTCTCTCCTCCTTTATTATTTTGATGCCTCAGATCATTTCTTTATCCACCTTTCAGGTATCAACCGGGTGGACGATACCTCTCAATGTCTTGCTCCAGAATATTTGATGATGTTTAAAGTCTGAAAGAATTCATGAATAACTAACCAAGATCAGCACATCAGTCTTTGTGAACACATGTATGCCCTAGAATTTACACTACTCTCAGTGAAAAGTGTCAAAACAAAAAAGGTCCTGAAAATTAATCACATTTTAGTAAGAAGTTACTGTTGACTAGGGTATCATCTTTTCTAATAGGAATACTACATACCATTCCTGAAATGTCTGCCTTAGAAGTACAGTTACAGTGGAAGGATTTAATTCATGATAAAGATCAGTATATGTTGAGGACATGTAGTTCAGTTTATTTCATATTAATATTTTTTAGGAAAGTTTTGTTAAAGGTCCATGAAAGTCCTAAGTCATAACTAAATAATATACAATTTTATTACTGTGATTTACATTTTTGCTGTTTCTAAATATGTTAATCCAGTATTTCCCAAAGAGACAGAGACCTCAAATAATAACCATATTTGCAAAACCCATGTCTTAAAACAATACTTACTTATCAGACATAACTGAATGTAGAAAACTCTTTTATAACTCTGTATGCAAATTAGTGAGGTTTTTGCATGTAGAATTAAGATTATACTTCAACTGATAGTATCTTTATCATGTGTACTATAATAGGGTGATGTATTATATTTTTCTTTCAGTCTTTGGTAATAACTGGAAATTTTTATGCTCTTGGTATTATTTGTAAAAAACTTCTGTTTCAGAGAGAAATGTTCACCTTAGCCATTTAGCATATTGATTTACGTATCAATCATTCCATTCAAGGACAATCCTAAACATTAATAGTAAATAGTGGGGTTTTTGTTAATTGCCAATGAGTCCCAAAAATTCTCTTAATTTTTAAAGGTGCCTGTTTATGCTTTTTGGAAAAGAACATCTGGTTATTATAAAGGTAAATATAAATCTCTTTACAGTTATTGCTAATAGTTAAATTGTGATTTATAGGAAACAGAAAATTATATTAGAATGGAAATGTGTAATAACTTGTTGATTAAACATCCTTATTATTTTAGATAGATTTTTTTAAACTTTGTGTTTAAGCCAAAGTTAGGTATTATATTTTAAATTATCAGTGTTTTATTGTACTGTGAATACAGTTGAGCACAACATGCTTGCAGAGTTCTTGAAATGTTTGCAGCTCAGAGAGTCCATGCTGTGGATTCACACAACGGTGACTATACTTGAGCTTGCCTATGACAGGCTCACTTTGATGCTTATTATCCTTCCTGATTTTTAATAGTGCTCACTTTCACTTGTAAGTATCCCAGTTTGAAGATGAATTTATGTAGTCACCCTAACAATGTAATTATGTCTCTTGAAGGTAGTCTTCCATTGAATCATAATTTTAAATTGTTTTCTTCTTTACTTTGTGTTATCATATAAAATTGTTAAAGATGCAGTTCTGTGCAGATGTTGAAAGGAATGAGGAATAGTGTGTCATCCTAATTATCGGCTTTCATTAAATTTTTATGATCTCTGAGATTATATCCCCTTTAAAATAATTAACAGTGGGTAGATTTTACTTTCAATTGAAGGTCATACAGATGCCCATTTGAGAACACATAGCCTTTTATTGTTAAGTATGGTTAGCGAGCAGTGGGCCTGGGGCAGAGATAATTTAATACTGCTTGTAATTTCACAATTGATCATTGAATACTTTGGGCAAATTATATAACCTTTCAGTGCCTAATTTCTTCATTTGTGAAATGAAGATGATACTTGCTATTTACCTACTGATCTACCTCACAAAGCTATTGTGAGGGTAATGAGTTTACATACTGGAGTATAAAAAGACAAAATATATGTTAGCTGTGCTATTTTTTCCTTGTGGTACTTGAAGGTGTTAGATGGGAATGTAATCAACCCAGAAAGGGGCCCTGTTTTATTTCAGAGAAGCTTACAAGTCCCCGAAGCAAAAACTTTTTTTGGATAATTATTCATCAAAAGTCCTGTGAAAATAGTATTGTTTTATTACTCTGGGTATACTCTGGAATATTTCCCATAAATATAATGTTTCTCATCAGGTTTTGTCATGAATTAAGATTACACTTCAGATGCTATAGTAGAAGCAGAAAAAGAAATTATTCAATTACTTTTATAGTCTATAATGCCCTAGGGTAAATTGTGAATGTGTGATGGAATATACTATTCTTCTTTATTGTTTTTTATGATTTAATAATTGAAGTGTATATAAATACTTCACAATATAGATCCCTTTATGACTTTTGAGTTATTTCCAAAATAATCTTTAGCTGTTTAAGTGATCCAGAGCATTCAGCTTTTTAAGCAGAATTTGTCTTACAGGTTACCTGTCTAGGTAAATGAGTTCAGAAGGTAATGATTTAACCCTTGAAGATTAAGAGTTTATTGCTGGGGAACTAAATTAACATTTGTGAAGCAGTCTTGTATAAAAAACTGTGGCAAGAACATAAGTTTTCTGTTTTGAGAAGCCTTTTACAATGTTATGACCTCTACTGCAAAACATTATTGAATTCATATACTTTACATGCAAAGTATATTTCTTGAAGAATTACTACTGGCAATTACCTTTTGATGTCTTTATTACATAATAATTGATACCTGATTAAATTTTTAAAATTATTTTTCTAAATAATTATTAGGTAAGGACATTTAGTAAGTCAGTAATTTAAAATAACCATTGTAGAAAGTAATAATGAACAGTCTTAATTTCATGAATCACCTGTAAGTTGCTAATTAACTTTGTTACTACATTAACAATTTGTTATTTTCAAAAGAACATTTTTATAAAAATAGTAAAATAAGAAATAAGTTATAAGCTTACTTAATTAGAAATTGCTCTCTTACCAAATGAATACAAAGGGTTTTGGAATAACTACATCATAGAAGAGACCCTCATGTCACAAGAGTGGTAAGAGCTATCAAAGATATATTTGATGGCAATGTAAAGCATGATTTCCAAGGAAGTTAGACACAGAAGCCAGTTTAATGTCTGTTTTGGTAATGCAGTCAAGAAGTGATGAGGGCCTAAAAGAAGTAGTGATCCTAAAAATGAAGAGGCAAGGATATATTTGAATTAAATTTAGGGCAGAAGAAATAGCAGAGAACTACAGTTTTAGATAAAAGTAGTGGGAGGATTTTACACAGAACTTTAGAAGCTTGCTTATCATGCAGTAGGAATTAACAGAGTGGAAAGATCTGGGATTATGAGAGAATGGTTAAGAGAAAACACAGAACTTTAGGATGATGAATTAGAACCTGAAAGGGAATAGACATCCAGTATTGCCAGATGAATGCGGGAAAAGATGAAGGGCAGAGACCAAGATGACAAAAGTGTAAGATGCAACAGAATTGGCTTGCCTTGAGTTTTCAAAAAGAACTGTATGATAAAGTTCTTTTGAAGCTATTGGATGGCTCAAAACAACATTGTGAAAATACAGGTTGTTTATAAGAAAACCCTATCCACTTAGAGAAGGGAAAGTTGGTTCTCTAGATCTGTGCTGACTGGGATGGTAATCATTAGCTCCATGTAGCTGTTAAGCATTTGCAATGTTGCTCTTACCCCATGTTGAAATTTTAATGTTTTAGATATATTGGATTAAATTACATACAGTAAAATTAATCTCATCTATTTCTTTTTACTTTTTTAATTAGCTACTGGAAATATTTAAAGTAAATATGGGGTTCCCATTTTCTTTCTGATGGACACTGTTGACCTAAACTCTTTCCTCCTAGGAAAAAGACTCAGACCTATATTGAAGAGCTTGAGTTGAGTATACCTTAAAGGGAATCCTAGCCAAGAAATGAGATATAGCAGCTCCTGAAATCACTGTGAAACCAGTTGAAACTTGATTCAATAATGAATAACTTCACCTTTATGATACCATAGTTAAATATTAATTTATTAATTCTGATTAATTCTTTGCATTATAGCTACTTCTGAGTTTAAATTAGCTGCAAGGGAGAACTTTTTCTTATTATTTTTTATCATACCAGTTTAATTTTAACCTGATTTTTAAGAAACCATATAGTTATCTTTTCTAAATATCATCTTCACAGTCAAAATTCAGGACCTTTGTAATCTTGACTTTTTTTTCTGAGTCCATAGACTGTGACTCATATAGACAATAGAAAGCAGACTTTTTTTTTCTTCCTTTGCAGCAGCATCCAAATATACCAGGGCTAATAGTAGGACTGAAAGGGACCGAATAGAACTCCTCCAAGATGTAGAACCTTTGGATTTTAATGCAGAAACATTCACTGATGATCCTCTTGAATCTGAATCAGGAAGGTAAGCTCCAGCTGTGTCATTTGGCTCCAATATTTCTCTGAATTTTTAATAATATACTGACTTAGTGAGACAAACAGGAAAATATTTTTTACTGATAATAAAAAGCATATTAAAGAACCTTTGATACCTTTTTGTGCCTTCTAATCCTTTTACATTTTAAAAATTAGAGCATCTAATGGTGGTAACTGATATCAATATCTTCATAAATAAGAATTGAAATTGATAGTAGGAATCTTAACAGTGTTTATATGCCAATTTCTGACAATCCCACTTAGGAAATTTATCATATTTAGCAAGGGCTACATTGCTATGACTGGGCATCTGTCACTATTCTAAGCACTTTAGCAATGATACTGTATTGTATGGTTGTAAATCCAATTGAATTTCAATCAAGAGAGGCTCAATAACTTACCCAGAGTCACACAGCTTCTAAATGACAGAATTAGGCATTTAAACCCCAGGACTCTGGTTACAGTCTGAGCGCTTAGTCATTATGCTGTGTGGAAATAATTAAAAGCAAAATATCATATGCATGAAGATAACTCCTTATAGTATTGCCAATAAACAGCAAAAAAGCTGAAATATTCTATTCAACAATTGAGAGTGGTTATGAAATCTCTAAAGTTCCATTATGTGTTTTATGCCTCCCTACCCCTTCTTTTTATATCTCTTACCCTGTCCTATGTGTATTCTAGGCTCTGAAACTGTTGTTGGTTTATTTATAACTAAGTAAATCCCTTTGGAATAATATCTTTGGAGAGTAAGTTTGTTTCTGCTTTTTCAGGTACTGAATAGATTTTACAGTGCTTAAAAATTATGTAGCCAATTCCTTTTAATGTATCCTTGTTTTTCTCTCCTCCTTTATTATTTTGATGCCTCAGATCATTTCTTTATCCACCTTTCAGGTATCAACCGGGTGGACGATACCTCTCAATGTCTTGCTCCAGAATATTTGATGATGTTTAAAGTCTGAAAGAATTCATGAATAACTAACCAAGATCAGCACATCAGTCTTTGTGAACACATGTATGCCCTAGAATTTACACTACTCTCAGTGAAAAGTGTCAAAACAAAAAAGGTCCTGAAAATTAATCACATTTTAGTAAGAAGTTACTGTTGACTAGGGTATCATCTTTTCTAATAGGAATACTACATACCA